GTGTGCGGCTTAAACCGGGTTTGTTTGGAAGCTGAGAGTGGTGTTTTAGAGAGGAAATCATGCTCTAAATCCCTATCAAAAACAGAAGGGCCAGCTTCCAAATAAACCCCAAGAAGTTGACGAAGCTCTTCGTGATGTAGCACCGCCTTCGTGTCAACCGTTTGTCCTTGCTGTCCTTGGCGTCGCTTCGACAAACGAGCGCATTTTCGACAACATCTCCGATCGCAGCACACCGAGGCCAAGCGATGCTGTCCTTCTGGCACGAAGCAGCTTCGAATCGCAAGTGCCCTGTATGACCATGATGCCATCAGACCATGCAGACGCGGTTTTGGGCAAGATCTGCGAGCATTATCAGATCGGACGTCAAACCTCCAGTTCCCTCCAAGATTGTTCAGATCGACAACACCGTGGGGTATGTCATGGATGACAATGGTCCCAGGATTATGGCTTTTCATTCCATCAAGAAACGTCATGATCTTCGACGTGTGGGCAACTTGCAATATACATACAATTTCGCCTGTGCATTCCTGCAGGCTGCAGTCGCTGGAAATGGATCGCCCCAACGTATCTTCACGACATTCCTTGGCAACTGCACACGTCACAGTGGTCAGATGTCGTCTTTGATTCCCCGTGCAACAAATGGGTTCTCGATGAATGTACTTGAAGACCTCATGTATTCTGAACCCTTTCAACAACATCGCCGTGCTCTCCTGGATGAATGTCGAGAACACGACGAATTTCGGTACATCAGCATCGATGCAACCTTCAAGATCAATTTGAAGGTCATCGGGCAGGCCAGTTTCCATTCATCCCAGTCGGCCCGGGAACATGCTGTCATTCCAGAAGATGAGGCAGGTTATCGGACACTAACGTGTCGCGGCCGTACCGGCGCTGCAGTGCTCATACGAGTTGTGCGCTCCGAGAAGGCAGTCGTGGTGGCCGATGCCCTGGCAAACTCGCTAACCGATGAATATCGTTCTCAAGTACTACATGTGGCCTCAGATGCACCGTCCGCAGAGATGTTTCAAGTTCTGAGCAAAGCACTACCTCACCTCAAGAGTATTGCCCTGGAAGCTATGCACATCGTGATGGTCTACCAGCAGAATATGAACAACAAAAAAACCCACGGCAGTCGCTGGCTCGCCTTGATCATGGATAAATTTCGGAAACGGGATCCGGTCCGCACGGCGGCTTCCTGGGGGGCATGGTACACAAGTCAGGCGTTGCATACCTCCAGTGCAGACGTCAGAGCTATGCGACAGCGTCTGGAGAACCCAGATATGTCTATGGCTCATGCATATCAGCACCTGGGGGGATAGACCCCAATCAGCCATGGCTCACCGAGATGGACTTCCTGGAGGCAGTCCTTTGTCATGTCCGCATTTCTCTGTGCTAAACATATCTTTCTTGTCAAGGCCACCATGCACAACGGTACCCTGGAGATGAAACAAACCATTTTTCTCCAATTCGTGAAGGTCTTTGCCCACCACCAAGCCTTGTACAGCCCGCTTCAGAGGCAAGTGAGTCAGGTGGAAGTGGCAAGGCGAGCCTTCAAGGCCAACGTCAAGGTTATTCTCCCGCGACGTGCATGGCTCACTTACAGTTGGCTGTACATGGGGCTGCACCAGCAAGAGCCGATCTCAAGATCCTCAAGCAGGGGCGTGCAGTACGTGATGCTATGAGCGAAAGGGCTGCTGAAACTCGCTCTCAAGCAGCTCGCCGCTCCAAGAAACGCGTTGCACCGCCGCTGCCGAAAAGTCTGCCAAGCAGACGTACTCCATTTCGATTGCAAAATATTAGTCCAATAACCCGCCCCGGGTGCAAGTCCAAGCAGATATAGACGCGGATCCCCGACTTGTGACATATATCCTTCTCCTCCATGGGTTGCCTGGTAAAGTGAAGTCTCGATTGCTTTCCGCATCCATGGGTCTGCTGAACCACTTGGACAGCTGCCTCTGCTCCCGGAAGTCGAAAAGGGACGTCGAGCTCGTCACGAGTATATTTTTCGGTGGATCTTGCCCCAATATGATTTTTTGTCTGACGTAGTTACTGATCATGCTGCCGCCAGGACTCCATGCCATCTGGCAGCATTCTGTACATGCGATTACAATAACTGATGTTCTGGGAAACTTCATTACCGTTACTTGTTCATGTCGTGACACTGATACTCCACGCGACTGCTCGCCCTTGGGCTTCGCACCTGAATCTGTTACATGATCAGCAGCGATTGGAAAGCAGATTCTCGAGTCAGGATGCATGTCATTATCGACAAATCAGATCCTGCGTGGTCTCTCGATTACCTCACAGTGGAATTGGAAAGTTCTTCTTTTAACAAGAGTGTGATGTTATATGTATCTACGAAGTTGGTTCGACATCTCTGGGGAAGTCTTTATTCTAACGCGTATTATTGTTGTCGATACTGAGCATCATCGATGTCCAGAAACACCTGCATTGGCTAACGTCAATCTCGCTGTCTGTGCCTGGGATAAAGAATCACATTAACACCAAACTCTTAGCTTCTGGATAAACGCGTGGGTTGTAGATTGCATTTATTCCATTTCTCCAGTTTTGATACGCGGATCGTCGAGTGTACTAACGGTGATTGTCAGTATACGCTCCCATGACTGTAAGCATAGTCACTATCGCTGTGGAACGGGGAAGACATCTTTCAGTGAACATGCGATGTTGTATGCTTTCCGAAACTGGCTCGATGTCTCTTGTCATGTCTTTCTTTAGACACGTAGTCTCGCCGTTGACAATGCATATCGTCAACATCTAGAGATATCTGCATGGATGTTGTCAATATGCATCATACTTCCTAATGCAGGTTGCTTTCTTTGCCTGTGTATATCCACGGAACTAGGGATCAAACAAAAAAACACCACTCTCAGCTTCCAAATAAACCCTATTTAAGCCACCCACGGGGGGGGGGCAGACGTGAGCGAGCTAAGCTTCGAAGGTGTGAGGGCTTGAAAACTCCTTCGGCTCCTTGCAATCCCTGACCTTGCAAATTACACAATCTTGCACTTGCCACATGGGCCTTCGCCTATCTGACCTATCTGCCTCTTTTCCATTGTCTCTTCCCTTGTCACGCTGTGGGTTATCGGCATCATTCTTGAGTATAGCGCAGCTCCTGCGAAGTGGGTTGCCAAGCTTAAGCCGTGACGGCGGATGCTGCTGAACGAATGTGTGTGCTCCTCTACCACCCTCTACCTTGCACGCAGGGGTGCGAAGCTCATGCACCGACTTTGCTGCTCCAATGACTCCAATGCACTCCGGGCATCAGGGCCTGCAAGCCCGGCATTCCTCCCGCATCGGCATTGCTTTCGCGGCTGCGGGGTCGGGTTCGTTCTCGCCGACCAGGCAGCTATGACGACGCAAACCCAACATCACCCAACCGGCAGAAAGGAATTGATGGAAACTCACATCATGCTGTGGGAAACAAAGGTGGTCGATGACAGCAAGTCCATGCAAGTCCTTGCAACTGAGGTGCCCGCGACACTCAGGCATGGTGGGGCCAGAAAGAAGGCTTTTGAGTGATGTCAATGTTAAAGACTGATATCATGTTGATATCTGTCTGTTTCTCTAGATGTACGTCGCTGTAAACAGACTTGATAACAAATAATCCGCTACATGTAGCTTGAGTTGCGGCTTGCTGTTTCAAGTTCGTGCGGGGCTAATCGGCCCTCACGCGTTGCCTAGCGCTGCTGGACCCTCTGGATGCAACGGCAGAGAGAGAGAGAGAGAAGTATGTGTACATGTACCTTATACACGCATTACTTGGTCATGTTCATTTTCATTTGCAAGCATGTGCTTGTTTTTACTTGTTAACGCATATGTATGTGTATGTGTGTGTATATGTATATATATGTATATATATATACGTATGTGTATTCGATATGTACATATAAAAGTGTGTACACATATAAATACATATTTCCGGGTGTAGGCACCAAGGAAGGCTGCAACAACGTGCATTTGCAGGTGATCACTTCGAGTTTCTTGGCAGGTCCTGGTTTCGCGATTTCGCCATGCTCGATGTGTATGCCCTGGCCTGTGTGGTCGTGCTGTCGGCAGTGCTGCTTGTCCAACAAGCCCAAACAGAAGTGCCCTGCCGCGTGGAGTCAGGGCTGAACATTAACCTTGGAAGTATTCAATCCAAGGACCGCTTTGAACAACGACCTTCATTTGCGCCTGCTGCCTGCCGGATGGGTTCTTTGTTCATTGACGGTGCCATGGGTAGTTCCCTGGATACATAGTAGTCACTCTTTGCATCCTTCACTCTGCATGGCATGCAGTAGGAAGTCACAAATGGCTGAGGTCTTCTCTTGGGCCAGATCGTGTAAATAGCAGAGTCCGTTTGACAAGGCTTTGCCCAGGAGCTGCTCAGTTCGGCAGCTGCGATGTAAGCTGCTACTTCCCTACATGACGTGTACAGTCTGTAGGGGTGTCGAACCAGCACGAGCTGGAAGTTGATCTTGTGTCAGTGCACAGTGTAAAGGCTGTAAAGGAAGATGGCGGGACTATCCGAAGTAGCCAAAGGTGTGACATTTTGAAGATATCCAAGATTGAGAACACGGCGGACTGCTCATGTGCAGTGTCTCGGCCCCGCTACCGCATCATCCTGTACAGCTATCTTCCTTGCCAAGTCAAGGGCGGGCCGCTCTCGTGGGACGAAGCAGGCGTAGAAGGCCAAAGACCTTGCTTTCATGAGCCGACAAACGGCTTTGGGAAGCGCTAAGCCATCTTCGGAATGCAGCTAGCTGCAGCTAGCTATATTGCGGCTACTATGAGGTATCTAGAAAGGTTTGCCATAAGGATAGCCAAGGGTTGCTACTGCCACAGTCATGCAAACCAGAGCAAACGAAGGATGGCTGCCGCACTCCGCCTTGCCACCACAGAGCCCAACAACCAGTCCTTTCCGGGTTCTCAATGAGAAGCAATGACCGTGAGCCCAAGTCAGCGCTCCCATGTGCTGAAGAACAGAGGGGCGAGAATGCCACGGTGATGCCCACCAGTATGGAACAACCATGCCTGCAGCAGCTCGAAAAGACCTCAAGACGAGGCCTTGAACCTGCTTTGCTGCCCGGGAGAAGCGTTTCTGCAAAATTTGCATGGCGACGGTCACCAAGCACTGCCCCAATGAACTCGATAACCCAGGATTCTAGATTCTAGATGTGGGCATCAAGTCTCCAGCTGTCAAGTTGCACTGTGCGGAGCGCCTTCTGCGTGCAGCAAGCCCGCAGCTTGTGTCATTGCCAGGCCCAAGCACGAAAGGCTGGCCAAACAGCTTCGCGCCACACCCAAGGCTGCAGAGGCCTCCGCGTGAGCTCCATGAAAGCAAGGAAAAGAGAATGAGTCAGTATAGTAATACGATAGGTAGTGCTCGCCAGTACAATCAGTACGGATACCGCAATGCGAATACGGATGCCGATGCTCATGCTACTAATGCTAACACAAGTAGTATTTTTTATTAACACTGACTTTTGAAACGAGTGCGAATAGGAATGCCACTCAAAACATTGTACCTGTAGTCATAACTAGTAACTGTTTCATTTCTTCAACGTCTTATTGGCTATGATTCACAGAAACCTGCAGCAGCTAGACCCGTTTTTGCCTGTGACAGGTGGTGGCAGCTGTAACACAGACGGAAGAGGGCGAATTGTCCACGCCCCAAGCACCAGCTGAATATCCCATCAGAAGCACACGGCCCCGTCATGACGTCTCTCGCCATCACCGGCATCATCAATCTCAGCATCGTCATTGTCAGTAGCATCATCATTGCGATGTGTTTCGTGGTAGTGGTGCTGCTGACGGAGGCGATGGTGAGTGATAGTGAGGCCTTCGGCGGTGATGGGCATCAGTATGCCGGCAGAACTGAGGAAGCGGATGCCTGTGGGTGCACTTGCCCGGGCGCTGACATCGCTTGCCAGCGTCTCGTGCCCGGACTGTTTGTTACAGAAGCTGGCCAGCTAGTGGATTCCACGACATGGCTCCTGTCCACCTGCAGACCTTCTCAAGGTCCCTGCATCGGGGTCCCGCGATGGCGAGGTCGGGGTCTCGGCCAGGAGATGGGAAGTTTCACGAGCATAGAGTGAGTCGAGGTGCTTGGATTCAGCGGGTCCTTAGAATTGTACCTGTGGAGTTCAATGGTTCAAGCGAAGAAGAAGAGCTTTCGACTGGATGGTGGCAAGGTCAGTATTTGTTCCGCTGCAGACCTCAAGCCTGGCTTTCCAATCTGTTTTGAAGGCTCTTGGTCAAGGCGAGAAGGCAGGCCAAAATATCGTGGAAGAGATTGGCTCTTTACCTCAGCTGCGAAGGTGTATCTGCAACCCGTTCGAGGCAAACACTTGACAACCAACAAAGAGCCGAACGCCTGCAAAAAAGGAAAGGCTTGAACAGCTCACAATTAACCGTAAACAAATGGCTTTCATGCAAAATGGAGGTTCTGCATAAGCTTGCCTGGCTAGCGCGGCTGGTGTTGGGCGGAGATCCCCGGAAGCTTGGAAGACCCAAGACGGCCGAGGATGCCACCGCTGCCCAGATCCGACTGTTGGCAGCGTTGCCCAGCACCTAGAGCCCTAGAGCTGCCTTCAAGATACTGGAAAGGACGGTCTCTCGGGAGACGGTTTCGAAGGGCTCAACTGTCTGTGTTTTAACGGCTGAGCTCTTGACGAAACTGGACAGCCGCATGCTCTTCTTCGGTGTTCTTCGGCATGTACTGAGTTGTGCCGAGGCGCGAGGTGAACAAAAACGAGGAGGACACATGTCTTCAAAACATGAAACTCCAAATTTAAATCTAGCCGTTTGCAATCCCGGCATAAGCCCTCGCTTGATACTTGTAGAAGAAACGACGCTTCGAGCGGAATGGGCGTCTTGTGCATCTGCAGGGTTGGCCTACAAGGATGACCAAGAAGCATTTTAGGTTACTACATCTGCCAAGTCCAATTCCTTTCGGAGACGTTGCAGGGAGGCAAAGCTGTGGAGTCTTGCCAGGAGGCTGTGGACATCCCTGCACCAGAACTTCTGCAGTCCGCCGAGAAGGCAAACTGAAGCACGAACTAGCATGGGTGAACATTGCATGGTCAAGGCGAGTGTACCTGCTGCGAACTCAGGTGCTCGATCTGGGAGGCAAGCACACAGCTCGACTCTCAGGTTCTGAAAATGCGTGCCGCCGAGAGTGCTTGCAGGTGATGACCCTGATGAGACTGTGCTCGTGCAGCGCACAGCGGCCAGTCGAATTGTCATGACCCTGTGCCAAACCTGTGCATGCTCGATGCGAAACCGCCCAAATCCTGAAAATTCGTTACATGTTGCAGGCCGCCCGGGTGCTTGCTGGAAAGGCGCTGAAGGGCGCTGTTTCCCAGGGCGGAACAAACCTCAGTCTCTCCTCAAACAGTGGCCCGCGGTAGGTCCCCGTCCAAGGTTCGTGAGACCTTCGGCCCTCGGCACATTGTGCTGTGCCCCCATAGTTCTTCATTGTACAATATGGTATCATAACATAGTCTAATACAGCAGGATATAGAAGAACATGGCATACGGTGGTATAATATGGATGTGTTTGAAGGTAGTTCCGAAGTTCCTACTGAGGACTTGCGGAAGCTGGCTTCTCGTTGAAGGATGTTCCCAGGCTCGGGGACTTCTTTCAAGTCTTGTATGGTCTTACTGCAGCTGCCGGCAGTCAGACCAGTTTCACTTCAATCAAGGCACTTGTGATTTGGAGCTGTTGCTTGCTGCCTCGTCGTGCTGTGCATTGCTGCTTTCTCCAGTGCACGGGGCATGCCGGTCTGGCTGAGCTGGCACTTCCTCGATGTTTTCGATAAGATGAGACAGTGGTTGTGGCGATGATATAGTGATCATGATGATAACATGATGACATGTCCTCCAAGATCGGGAGGGAGGATGTCAAAAAGCACCCCATTGGAAATCCGATGATGACGACGATGACGATGAAGATGGATGGCCACTAAGAGTCTTGTCAGTGCGAGGATGCCTTAAAATCACATGCTTGAGCACCTAGAGTAGTTTATGCATATGAAGCCAGGATGTGCTAGAGAAGTAGGGCAAAGATGCAGCCCCCCTGCAAACATGAAGCCTGCAGAGGCAGCACCGGCAGCGATGTTGACGGAGACGCATAGACCTCCCCCCTTTCGGAATCCGAAGCCCTGGCCTGGGAGGCTCTTGGCGCTCCCAGGAGCTGCTGGGCGTGATGTGCTCCTGCAAAGGTCCCAGGAAGTAGACGTGGACTAGCGCTGGCTGCAGTCATCGCAGCGGTGGTAGTCAGTGGTAGTGGTTGTGTGTGGTAGTGGTACGTATATAGTAGTGGAGCTTGCGTCTTGATGCTCGTTCGATCGGCAACCTCGTGCGCACAAATAGGCAGCAGAGGCTCGTGATCGCAAGCTGGAAGGCAGATGATCATGATGCTGCTGCATGCTGCAGTATTCTGTGGCTGACACTGGGCACGGAGCGAAGTGACGCTCCACGTGTGGGTGAGACTTAGTAAGGGGTGGTCTTGGGCAAGGATGCTCGCTTCTGATGCCAACGATGCTCCCTGGATAGGTTGTCCTCGGTTTGGAGACGGGCACATGATTCTCATGATGCCCAGCTCCTCAACAGAACACTACTGTAACGGACGATGCTCGTGATGCTGGGTGTCTAGCTGAAGATGGGTTGCAAGCGTGTTCTGGCTGGTTGCACGCTGTCGCGCAGGGAGCTTGGCAGCTGATGCTCATGATGCATTCTGGGTGGACGGCAGCGGTCGAGCCGTTCGGTGGACAACCAGCCGAACTGATGACAAGCAGCTGATGCGTCCACGTTTTTCGTCGCCAGCCTGCTTGCTCGACGAGGGCATCCAGATAATGGGCACGTCGCAGAAGGGGCGGCGATGCTCGGCAGCTGGTTTGGGTGCTGTCGTCTCGGGCAAGGGGCTTGGCAGCTAATGGTGCTCATGATGCTTGCCGGTGGGTGGCATCGGGTAAGGAAATCCTTCAGATGATGCCCATGATGTTTGCTGGCCGGGGGCTGCCGGGCAGGAGCCAGGCAGATGATGCAAACCTCGTTTTCCCCAACAGCATCCTACCAGCGAGTGTGACGCGGCGCGGCATTTTGCCAGTGTCCCCACCTAGATCGTTTCACAGAAAAGGATGCCCTATTAAACGGATGATGCTCATGATTCTGTGGGGTACCGGGCAAAAGTCTGGCGGCTGATGCTGATGATGCTTGCGGGCCGGGCGATGTCGGGCAAGGAACTTGGATGATGATTGCTTGCCATGCTGGGTGCTCAGATGATGTCGGGCACGAAGCCGAGCAGCTCATGCTCCTGATAACGTCGCAGCACTTATGAGAGCTAGTGATATCCCTGATTGGTGAATTCTTCTGGGAGCAGGTTCAGGAATCATTTCTGTCAAACATCTGTTGTAAACCTGTCTCCCACATGTGTCAAAAATCTGTCACCCGCCACTGGTGGGGTTTGTCAGCGCGAAAAAAGTGCAATCAATCTGTGAACGACAATCTTTAATTTTTGTTTCATGTTTGTCGGGCCGAGGGTCGGGCCCCTAGCTGCGACTTGGCATAGGACTCGAAGAGTGATGCGGCTCTGTTCCTGCATGCGGGCTGGGTGGCCGATTTTTGCAAATGTTCGATAGATTTTTCTAGCAACATCTAGTAGAAATCTCTATAGGAAGCCCCGGGCAGGGGTCAGGAACCCCGGCCCTGGCCCGGGCTTCCCGTGAAGCTCCGGGACCTCGGAGTTCAATCTGTCGGGGTTTTGTGGGGAGGTTCTGCCGAAAGCCTGTTAGGAATCTGTCGGAAATCTGCTAACGGGCTGTGGAAATCTTCACACCTTTGTGTCCGGGCGGGCGGATTTCAATCTGTCAAGACTCTGCCAGGGACAGGGCTCAGCGGCCCAGCGCCGCTGATAACAGATTGCTGGCTGATTCAAACCACAAGTATTAATGACGGATCAGATCTCGAAATAAATAGTTTCTCAAGACCAGCATTAGCTCCCAAAACAGCGCTAGAATGCTAGCGATAGTGTGCTATTGAGATAGACAACGCAAGCACTTAAGGCATGTAGTCATGCTAGCAGGCCTTGGAAGAAGAGACGTCGAATCATCTTAAACTATGAGCGGTCAGAGAAGCATTCCTACGCCATTTCTGGCCAAGGGCTACATCGTGCGTGGAGTTGCCGGGACCTCGGGGTGGATCTGTGCAGCAGGTAAATCTTGTACTGACAGAGTTCATAGTCTGTGTATTCAGTATGCTATAGATACTATAGTCTCTTATAGCCATGGTATATTGGATAGTCTTATAGTATTGGTCATCAGACTAAGCCACTGGTCACAGGCCCTAAAGGAATGGCCCGGAGCTTGACATTTGAGGAGCTTTGCGCTTGGCCTCCGTGCACTCTCTGTCAGTCTTCCGGTCCCTTTGCGTTGAAGCTCCGGTGTGTTGGTGATATGTATATATATATATATATTGATTGTATATACAGATATATATATATATGTATTTAGTTAGTTAATTAATTAATCAATCGGTTGGTTAGTTGATGAGTTTTTAATTCATGAATTAATCAATCAATTAAATCGAACTAATTAATTAACTAATTAGTTAGCCAATTTGAATTTACTAATGAAATAATTAGTCAATCAATTAATTAATTAGTAATTAGTTAATTAATTATATATATACACACTTATACATATATATATATAATATATGATCTCTGTATGTATATATGTATATATTTATTTAATTATTTATTTATCCAGGCATCCTTCCTGCCAGGCGGCTGGTTTCTAGATTGGCAGTGATCCTAGATGCACACCCCGGGCCATCACAAGCAAGGTGCTTGAAAAGGCTCCGGTGAAGTACATCCTTCTGGGCAAACAGAAGTCGAGACTGAAACGAGGCTTGCAGCTGGCAGCCTGCAGCAGCAGCGTGACGCAGAAAGCTTAGAGATCGAAACCTGATGAATCTGTATGAATCTGTGCACGCGGTTGCACGGACACGTCCGGTGCACTATTGTGCGCTTGTCTTGTCCGGAGGCTGCATCATTAGCTGAAGCTGCATTCCAAAGCATGCCCAGGTTCTGCGCATTGCCGCTGCCAGGAGCAGCACCAACACGGCTGCAGCAGCTGGCACAGCAATCCTCAAAACACTTTCAGGACAAGGCCCTGCAAACCCAGCCATTGTTCAGTGCCATGCAACAGAATGGTACGGGTGCTGCAGCCTAGCAAGCACATCTGAAGGTGGTCCCGAAGACCACGTGGCTGCCACAGATGCTTGCGTTGAGACGGTTCTGGCCTCAGTTTTGCACCTTGCCTGATTCTTGCCCATCCTAGATCTCCGAAGCATCCAAGCCTGCATGGGCACGTACGTGCAGACCGAGTAGAAAACCCACAGTCGCCGTGCCTTGGCCATCCCTGTGCATGAAGCCGGCAGCGGCAGGTTCGTGAAGTGGCACAAGCTGGGGTGAGGCCTCCGCACGAGGGAGGTTCATGAGGGTCGGTTTGCATGTTTGTGCTCTGCTGAATTTTTGTCGCGTACAAGCGCGAAGCCTTGATAAGCATGCAGCATCGGGGGAATCAGTCCACAACCCCAGAGCCCTTGAGGCTTTATAGCCTTTCCTTCTGGAGTAGAATTTAGCTGTTCCATGACGACTGCAGGCTACCGGCTGCTGCAGCGTTGCTCAGGCAGGTTCCTGTTCTTGCGGTTCGTGTCTCGGGACGGCACAGTTCAGCTGTTGAGGGAGCGCCCACAAAAACCAATGTCACCGTGGCAAGTTAGACCTCCCACAGCCTCCCAAAGTCCACAGCGGCGCATTTGGCAAGATGCATCGTGGCGCAGGCGGATGTCTACCACGGCAAAGCCCGTGAAGCTTGCTGCCAGCCTAGTCCTGCATCGCAGTGCTAGGGAAGGCAGACAAAGCCTGGCAGATGCAGATTGACCAGTATTATTTTTATTTTATACTATATTGTTGTATTTTATACTATACTATATTATTTACACTATATTATACTATTTTATACTATACTATATGAGGAGTGAGCACTCTGACTTTGCAGCGGCTGCGCTCAGGCCGAAGCTTTGCTGGTCTTGGCACAGAAAGCCGGACCTGGCCAGGCATTTGCTGAACCGATGTGCTTTCAAGACTTCTTTTGCTCTGACAACAAAATGGCCATCTTGAATTTTGGCGTCCTGAACCCTAAACCCTGAATACGAAGGCATTCAAGAAAACATCCTTGTAACACGTAAGGTGCACTACGTTGCGTATCCTCCTGACCTCCTGCACCAAGCAATGGCGCCGCGCGAGCCTGCGGTTTGCTGCAGCCGTGGCACGAAGGTACAGTAGTCATCCTCGGCCTTGACCGTTTCGGATACCGGCACCGGAAATCAGTGTACTGCAGGCCGCAGCAGCCACTCGTATTCTCGTTCGTTGGTTACGCTCTGGGGGGATTGGATTTCAATCCGTCAGCGTGCGTGGCCCAACCACGCAAGATGTCGATATCTCAATGCTGGTGAACTACGTTGGTGAAGGCTTCACACGGGAAGGTTAAATGGAGCAGCGATTTCTTGAGAATGAAGCAACTTGCCAACAAGACGCGGCTGTACACGCGAAAGGTGCATTGTGGCATTGATTTGCAATTATGCAATCGAGTGCAGTGGTCGTACGTGGCTAGGTCAAGTAGAATGTTGGTCGTGTTTGATGAATGCGCGGACAGGCTGACGACCTGCAAGCAGTCGCGGAAATTCTTGCCAGCAAGGATTGCATGAAGTAGTTTTCGAGTTCGGATGCACACGGAACAGAACTGCAGTTGCAGCATACTACTCTCAGGACTCATTCCACGATTTCACGCCAGAGCTGTTGCTGGAAGCAGCATTGTTGCAGTTTGCTCAGAAAAGTTCAAGAAAGCACCCACAACCTTGAGAGCACCGGCATGAGGTCGTCAAAGCACGACTTTCTCGAGCCCTTGTCGCCGGGAACTGCGCTGCCGGCTTGTGTGGCCTTCAAAGGAGTGGCTTAGGATGGCGATGGTGATTGACAGGGTTTCACTGCAAGGATTGAATATTTGGGGGCTAGGCACGGAAAAATTCCACTCTGACAGGCGGCCGCCGCTGCCAGCATTCTGGAGAAGTTGCGTTTGGACGATGTCAGAAGCTCAGTCTGACGCCTATGAAAGGGGGAATACCATTGGGCCACCAGGCGCCGGACACGGGATTATAAATTCCGCATGATGGCACCCCTGAATCTGAGTTGGTGAAGCTGCTGCTGGCCGTTGCTCGCCGGCGCGGAGGGCTGCCTGCTGAGGTCACAGACGCGAGGTTGAGGGTCTTTCAGGGTTCAATGTTCGATCTGTTTCTTGAGAGCTTTGCAGATTGATGCCACATGATCTGTGGTCACCGGAAAGCAGGTGATGTTCCAACCTGCACCCGCGCACCTGTTCATGGCTGCTAGGTCAAAGGCACCTTGCGAGTAGCCGCAGGGGTCTCGGATTGAAAGTTAAGGGTCCTGGGACATGCGCAGCGAAGAATCTGCTTATCCCTGACATTGAGCCCATTGCATGAGGCTGAGACGGTTTTGAAGCCACAGCTGGGGCAACTTGGCAAAGACCTTAGCTGAAGCCGAGCCTGTGGCATCCAGCATGGGCAATGTGCACATCTACTCACTTTAGTACTTCAGTCCGACGCAAAAAACCTGTGCGAGAACTTCAGGTTCTGAAGACCTGGCGGGCCTCGTGGTGGCCCTGGCTTCTCCAAGTGTTTCTGTAGCTTGTGACAAAAGTTTGTGATGAGGTAGCTCGACATGGTAGGTCAGAGACGTCGTAACTTTGAAGGGCCTTGTGGTCAGTTGCGGACACCGCTGTTGGGGCATTGACGCGGCTGGACAAGGGTGGGTAAGGAAAACTGTGGCCATGTACAACTGGAAAATGTATCGAGGGTAGACTGCAAGTCCTCTTCGGCGTCAAATGCGTGACATGCTTTTGACGATTTCAGGTTTTGGCAACGCTGGGCCATGGCTGGACGGAGCTGCGGGAAGCCGGAACCCCAAGCGCAGTTCTTGCTACTTGTCGCAGATGAACCAGCACAAGCCACAAGCCACGAGCTGCAGCAGAGGCAGTTGCACAAGAGTTGCTACGGCGGCTACCAGCTTTCCCTGCAAAGCAGCTCCTGGTAGCCTTGCCGACCTGTTTGAAAAAACCAGCTGGGAATTCGGTTGGGGTTCGGAGTGAACCAGGTCACGCCCGTTTTCCTGCAGGCGGGAACCCGACTCGCAGGGAATTGTAGCACGTAATTCCAGATAGAAAATAATAAAACAAACTTGAAGGAGCCGACTGGTGTCGAGCTGATAGCGAGCTGGCCAAAGGCTCCACCGCCAACTGCATCATCCAGATTGTATAACTCAAGCTGCAGAGGTCCTCTCAAGGAGCACACCGCCAGCCTCCAGTCAGAAGACTTCTGCTCAGGCCGTCCTAGCTTTGCATCTCACAAAAGATCGACGAAAAAAGAGCCTCGGCCGAAGGACGCAACCGACAAGGCTGAAGGCCTGGCCCCAGATCAGTTGTGGCCCCAAGCGGAGGGACCAGATGTTGGGCATGGCTTGTCAGAATGCCACGCAAGCACAGCTTCTCCGAGGCTGGTAAAGCTAGCCAACCTCGCTGAGAATGAGGACTCCGGCTCCGAAGGCGTTCTCTGCCGCGCAAAATCGGGTGCACTACCAGGCCGTTGCAGCTGCGCCCAAGCAATGGAAGGCACTTTTGGAGGACCTGGTGCTGGTGATGGTAGAACAACCATCTCACACGAAGCAGCCGAGAAGCGACTGCAAGACAAGCCGACTGATTATCCATGTCGGCCAGGATATTTCAGCACGCATGCTGTCACAGGCCGAGCTTGTTTCGATCTCTCTCAGCCGAGAGATAGCAGATGCAAACTGCACAAATCAAGATGTGCATCAGATGCTGCGAGTTGTGTCATGCGTGGTGTTCCCCGCTGCTGCACCATGGGCAGGTTGTCGACCTGTCCGCTGCTGGCAGGGCTATGCTGTCGTCGCAGCTCCAGAGACAGATCGGTACGGCCCACGGTGGCTGAGCTGTTGATGTGTATATGCAATATGTGAGAACCGCAACTCACACAGGCATCGCTAATCACTTTGTGAAAGGATTGGGCTCTTCCTCCAACCGCGCTGCTTTGCAGAAGGCCCTGACTGCAGGTGTGCAGGAAGCCGAGCTTTGCAGACACCGGTCGGAAGCATGCTTCGACAGCGCTTTACTTACGATGTCACCGATGTTTTTCGAGGTTGGGCTTGTGCCTGAAACCAGTCAGGCGGCAACTGCAAAGCCAGAAAGGCATCTTGAACTCGACACCTGAATCCCTCTTTCTGATTCGGCTTCAGGCGCTGTCCTGGATCCTAGCTCACAGCAAACAACGAAGCCCTCACAGGCTGTTGGGCGCATTTCCAAGCAAACCAATGAAAGTTGAAATCCGGCATCGCCCTCCGGGCACGGGAACTGTGAAATCTGGCACCTGACATGCTAGGCGACCCTGGATTGTTTAGCATCGAGTCAGCAATTGCAATTGCGGGGAAGCGGACACCGCAACTACCACCTGCTGCTTGTAACGCATCGTTAGGAGAATAGAGCATTTCAGAAGCTTTCCCATCTAGAGACGCACTCAGGTTGCCTGCTGTGCCTGATGCTCAGCTTCGTGGCGGATTTTGTGCGTGTTTTTTCTCAGAAGCCCTTCGAAACTTCAACTTCTCGCAGGACTGCAGGAGAAAATGCCAAATCCAAGAAACGAGCAGCAGCAACTCCGGCAGGGCCAGATGGTCGACTCAGCCGCTCGCCGTTTATGAATGCTTTGGACGTCTTCTGTAATGCTTTGTCGGATTCCTTGGCTGGAGATGATGAGTAAGTCTTGCATATCACGTTCGGCACGAGGCTTGCGCCCCCGTGACAACAGCTGAGGCAAGAAACAGCGCGGCAAGCAGACTCGATCAAAGAAGACATGAAAAAGCCTATCCGCTGCCTGCTGCCTGCCACAGTGCGAGCATAATAGTAGTAATAACAACGGTAATAGCAATCATTATGGTTCTTGTCAATGATCATAACGGTCATTTCAGTCCAAAATGTTGTTACCGATATTCCCACTATTGCTAATTAGATATGTCATATACTTTTAAAAGAGGATTATTTAAGCATTTAATTTTGGGAGTAGGAGGATGAGGAGGAGAGTGTCAGCTGTAGCAGCAGAAACACTGGCAGAAGCACCGGCAACACCAGCAGAACGCGCCCGGCATTTGTGATGGGAGCCTTGTCCTCGGTCCTTCTGGAATTGATCGAATTGAGGGCCGGCGTACGGCCAGCAAGAATCAGCACCCATTGACTAACACTGGCCTAAATGGAGTTTGTCTGGACGTTATCATGGTCGTTATGTGAATGCTCTGTGGGAATGGACGGAGTCTGTGCGGACCTTAACATGGTTGGCACATGGATGCTTTCGGACCGGACGGAGTTTGTCTGGACGTTATCATGGTTGCCATATGGATGCTCTGGATGGATTTTATCTTGATGTTATCATGTTAATATGGTTTGCACATGGATGCTCTGTGGGAACAGACGGAAATTGTTTGGACATATGAGATAGGCTAGCAAAAGGAGGAATATCGTGGAAGATTGAAAAAGATATATATATATATATCTATTGAACTCAACAAAAAAAATATATATAAACATAAATATACATATATATTATAGGTAGTATCGTCGCGTAGGAGTTAGGAATCGTTGAAAGTGATGAAAGAGAAAATATATTGAGATTGGGGGAGGGAGAGAGAGTATATAAGAAAAATATTTTAATCGGTTTTCTTTTTCTACTTCAATAAAAAATAAGAGATGTCATAGAAATATATCTGATAAGAAATATTATTTTTTTGAGAGAAAATAAGAATTTAATTTCTGAATCTTTTAATATTATTATGTGGTCGTTTAACATACAGAAATTGACCTCAATGGCGAATTATTTTTAGATTGAAAGTCGGTTGTGTCGTTCTATAGGAAAAGAAAAAATAATGTGCGAATATATAGATGGGCCGTATTACGGGAGAGAATATAATCCGATATATCTATATAATGCAAAAAATTGAATTAGGATAATAAGAGGAAGAAAGATGTTTCGTTATAGGCCCTGAGGAGGGGGGAACGCAGGAAAATATATGGATATATGAGATATAATGTTTATGAGGGGAGGGGAGAATTTATAGATCGTTAGATCTATAAATTATATATTAACTAAATCGGAGGGGCGTCGTCGGGACCCAACCATATATAATAGCTATGATTTAAACCTTTGATTTAAATATAATAATTTTTTTCTAATTGAATATATCGTTTCTTTTTGATATTTTTCTCGATAAGAATTTCGGTTCTTTTGTCTTATCTGTCGGGATTGATATCGGGAAAAATGAGATCGCTTATGGAAATGTATGTGTTCATTTGTCCCTTGTCTTGGTATTATATTTGATAAGTAAATGAATTCTGATATATATTATATTCTTTCTTTATTTTGATGTTGAAATAATGAAATAGTAATATGAATTTAGTATTTGAATTCTTTATATGTGGTTGGATTTCGGAAATATCTAAAAGCAAGATTTCTTAGGCGAAAACAAATTTAGAGCAGATTACGAATTTTTCGAATGAATTCGCTCAAATTCAACCGATGAAAATTTTTCTGAAAGGTTTAATAATTAGAACATTAAATTACATATTGAAACAGAAATTTAGGGGCCATTTATTCTCGTCTAATTTCATAAAAATATGTTAATATTACTATCTAACCAAATTCATATATAAAAGCCAGAAATTAATTAAAATCTATTCAACTAATATATGAATATAATTATCAAATATATTTTTATATTTAAATTCATATTATATATTCTCTCCATTAATTTCGGGCCCAAATCATCAAATTCGTTAAAAAAATCTATTTCAAAATATTATCGAATTTCTTTTCAAAGAAAGACGTCTAAATAAATAGTCATCGAAAAGTTATTAAATTCTAGTCTATAAAATTCAGAATTCTTTCTTCACAATTAATTCCCAAGTCTTTCATATTTTAATCCTATCTATATAGAATATAAAAATAAAGAGAAAATAGAAAAAATAGAAATGTCTAAATTAAATTTTCATCTTTATTTTAAATATATTTTCTTTAAAAATATTTTATATCATTCCTATATTTTCGAAAATTTAGCGAATTCTATTTACTAAATAGAATTTTTATCTTATATTCTTATTAATCTATAAAAAATCTTTAGATATTTCTAAGATATAATAATTAATAAAAATCTTATAAAAGATTTCGGAAATTTCATTATATTTAATAGAAGAAAACCTCATTTTATCATATTCCCACCAGAATAGACAAAAAATCATATGAATTATCAAGAAAATAGAAATTAAAAAATCTTAGGAAAAATAGAAATTATGAAATAAAAATGAAATCTAAATATGAATATTTGGAAAAATTATAAATCAGAATCTATATATCGTTCCATATATCAAAAATTTCATAGACCTTACATGCTAAGAACATTAATAGGATTTCGGCTTCAAGAAAAAAATATGTTGATTTTTCATCTATAATGTTAATTAGTCTATTTATCCACCCCGACTCTGTATTCAAATTACTTGAATATCTAGTATTTTCCCGCTAGTGCACCCCCGCCTGGCATCTAAGTCTCTTCTCCTTCTCGGCATCTGGGACCTGCGCCAGACCGGATAGGCTAGCAGAAAAGCAACACTGCTCACTTCGAAAACTTCAATCCCAATAACTCAACCTGTAGTAAGCCGGTATGAAATATGTTCGGGTCTTAAGTTCGGAAGAAGCACTACCCGATTTTTGCCTGAGCCCTCCTCCTGCAAAGGAACGCAAGCTTGTCTGCCTTCAACCTCGGCACCGTGGAAGGATGGACCGGGTGACTTGAAAGCGTCTTTTGACACAATTTGAGCGCAGGGCCATCTTCCAGTTTGTGCGACTGGCCGCTGAAATGCACATAAGTGTCGCGCCTCGTGGGGGTTCAGCGCTGGAGCTGCCCTCCCAAAGCTGCAAAAGCTCTCAAGACTTTATCACAGAGCCCTAGTAAAAAAAAACCCGAATCCCTGTACCAAGGTACCCTCAATTTTAAGAAAACGTCCTATCGAAGCTCCATGCCCGGGCAAACGCGCCACGGTGGGTCGGCAAAGGGACTACGTCACGGACCGGGTATCTGCGACAGCTTCGGGGCACAGAAACGATCAGAAACGGACTACCTTATACGACTATTCTCTGTTTGCCTTTACCATCATTATGCCTCTTGCAACTGCATAAAGGCATAAAGCTGTAGGGCCTGCGGCTTTCACACGAAATCTCTGCCTTCCCTTCATGTTTTCTTCTTCGAGGCTTGGCAAGGAATGGATTGGCCGTAAGGGAGGCACCCCTGGGAAGTGACGGGCGGCGACCTGGTGCATGGGAGAAGACACGGCCATGGGCTAAGAAAGACACAGACGGAACACGAACTGAGCCCCAAACCCGTCCACTGCCCGCGCGGCGCTGCGCAAGGCCGCGGAGGGCCTCCCATGAATTGAGGCGACGTGACCTTCTTGCCATGAAGGCAGAGCGGTTCGAACGTCACCAGTCGCAAGAGGGAGGAGTTTCAGCTGTGGCAGATGAAGCTGTTGGAGTAATGCGTCTGAACCGCTCAACCTTCCAGGGAACGCAGCTCCTTGCTGTGAGAACCTTATGAACCTTATGAGCTACGGTGCAGCGAAACGCACACAGCCTCGGATCCGGGGCCACGGTCGGCCTGGTCTGAAGTGGCACCCTTTTTTGACGGGTCCACTACCAGAAAGCTACCGAGTGCGTGGCATGGGTGCAGCTGGAGGTTCATCCCAGTCCTCCTGGAGAAACGGCCTGGGCAGAAAGTCGATGCATCTGCTCGATCTGATGATGGCTCCGAGTCTCTTTCGCAAACTCGAGATGTCCAGATTCTAGATGCTGCCGCATTGAATCATGTGCTGTGTATTCAAAAAGTACCCAGCATCTTGCTGCGACATGAAGGGACCCGGGCTGGCGGCAGAAAGGTTTCGCTCTGAGACAAGCTGTTGTCCGAGGGATCGACGTGAGGCGCTGTATCCCGTTGTGCGCGCTGATAGAGAGGTAGGTCCCCAAGCCCTCCAGAGCTACGTGCTGGATGTGTATCGACTTGGAAGGATGTTTTCTCTGACGCTTTCCGGTCTGCAAGGCATGAAGAATGCGGAAGTTCACAAATCTCAGACCCTGAAAAAGCCCTGACCAACCCTCAACGAAGCTTCCCTCAAACAACAGGC